TCCTTCCTTCCTTCCTTCCTTCCTTCCTTCCTTCCTTCCTTCCTTCCTTCCTTCCTTCCTTCCTTTCTTCCTGGGTGGAGAAACTCCTGGGCAACAATCTGCCATTCCTCCTTCCTCTCCTCTTTTTTTCATCGTCCCGTTTCTACCACAACTTGCTTCCCCCGACAGCTGCGCCTCCCCCAACCGGCCGGGCCCTGGAAAACCTTCTTCCTTCATCCTCCCGACCCCCCAAAAGACGATCCGTTTCCTTCCCCCTGGTCGCCCGCAAGAGAAGGGCTGAGAACCGCATCTTCCCCCGACACCCTGCACTCTTATGCCCGCATTGCTCTGTGGGGGCAGAGCCAGGGTGGCTGTACAGAAACCCAGGCACGTGTGTCCAACGGGGGGGGGGGCAGCCGGAGCCCCCGGGGGGAGCGTGCCCAGGGCCCCGCCGTGCAGTGTTGGCTTCCGCTGGAGTAAGCAGCCCTCCGCCTGCCCCGGGCGAGTCCACCCGGCCTTCACAGCACCATGGTGGGGATGTGGTGTCCCAGAGCCGTGGGGTGCGGCACGGGCAGGGCGGGGGAGTGTGGCTGCAGGGCCCCGTTGGGGGGACGGTGCCGGGCGCTCTTCTGGTGCGCCCGGAGGCCGGCCAGCTGGGAGTAGGCGCTTTGGCAGACTTGGCACTTGTAGGGCCGTTCCCCGGTGTGGAGGCGGACGTGGTTGCGCAGCGTGGAGGACTGGCTGAAGCGCCGGTTGCAGAAGCGGCAGACGAAGGGCTTGTCCAGCGTGTGGATGCGCATGTGCGAGCGCAGGTTGCTGCGGGAGTTGAAGCCTCGGTGGCAGATGACGCAGCGCATGCGGCCCACGGAGTTGACCCCGCCTTCGACCAGGTGGAAGTCCTCTGGGGGGGGGGAGAGAGGGAGGAAGAGGAGGAGGGGTGAGAAGGAGCTCTCCAGCGATTCTGGGGAAGGTGGCGGCTGTTGCGCCTGTGATGCCACGAGAGATCCCTGCGCTCGGGAATCAGGAGGGATCTTCGGAAATGGAGAGATTCCACTTGGCCCCTGGGGGAAGCCCTGGAGATGCCTATCCATCCACTCCTCCCTCCCTCCCTCTCCCTCCATACCCTTCATATCTATCATCTATCTATCTATCTATCTATCTATCTATCTATCTATCTATCTATCTATCTATCTATCTATCTATCTATCTATCTATCATCT